GTTTATTTAAAAGCAAATTCTCCAAATTAACGCGTTTTTATTCCAAATTTCCTCAACCTTTAAAACAATTTCCTATAAATTTGTTTTCGAAATCAGCCTCAAATTTAAACAGGCACAGTTAATTGCGTTTTGTACACTATCTCTCTCTTAATATCATCTTATTTTATAATACCATAATTACAATTGATTAAATACTTTCAAACATGTTTGACAACAAGAAGTTGTGTGTATGACATGAACGCCCCAACTGCCATAAGAAATGAGTCTCAATGTCCAATCAAAATTAACAGCCATTTAGATCTTGATACCCTGAAACATGCACACATACACCCAGAGAGCCTACACGTATACTTAAAGTTGTAATATTCATTGGTTTTTCTCATTGTTCACATGGTATTTGAAGAGCTGTTGGTTTATGATTTTCTACTTAAATAGCATGGTAATCCTGAAACATGACCTCATTTACATGAAAAACTGTTATGGATTGGTTGACGATTTTCTAAATATAGTAATTTTAACATTAACCGTGGAACCCACAGCAAAAGGATGTCCAATGTGTTCTACGTATATTAACTTTCATCAATGTCTATTAAGAAATGAAGAAGCTTAAGAGGACATTGAACAAGTGCTGTTGTTCTTTCAATATATAATTACTGTGACCTTGGCCTTGAACTTTGAACTCTGATACACCACACCAACATCCAATTTGTTTTTATACTTGACTTTTCATAATATTTCACTAAAATCCATGGTAGAATGACGTAAATTGAATCAATCGATTTTCTATATTCGGCAAGTGTAGCCTTGGCCTTGACCTTTGACCATGAAACCAATAATGTCTGAATTCGAAGTGACTTGCAAGAGAATCGATAAAAAAAGTCACTTAAGACTCTTTAGATCTCTTGGTACGTTTTTATACATAACTTTCCTGAGAAATTCTATTTCATTTTTAAACTGTTCAGTGATTCCAATCTTAAAAAGTTTCATTTAAATAATAATTGAAATTAATGTTGTTCAGTTGATCATTTCCATTATGAAATTAAACAAAAATGTTAATAGTATTTTTGTCAAATATTGAACAAGATGTGAATTTCCAATGTATGAGGGAAAATATCTTAATACACGCACGGAAATCCAATACAATAACCAAGCATGAACGTGTAGTACATATAATGTAGTACAATGTATTTCAAAAAATGATAATTGCTCTTTTCGAACTTGTACCTGATGGTAAATTTATTTATTTATCAAATCGAGTTATGATTCTGTTACATTATTAACTTGATGTATTCACACTAAGACCACTCGCGCACTGCCATCCGGACCAACAAGAGTGATTAATATAAGTTGGAAAAACTACATAAGGTTTATTATCATTATGTATTCATTGAATTGTTTATTTTAGATGAAATGACTTTACTGCAATGGAGCAATGATATAGCCTTCTATGAATAGTCCATTGGACCCTGCCAGATATATGATATCAGATATATGATTAACATTTACGTCCTGTAGGTCTTTTAATAATTGTAACGGGGAAGTTTGTCATAAGCATGAAACTTTCTAAAACATTCTACCGGAGTTTCCTTTGGGAAATCCCAGACTCGTGCTTAGATGTCCGTCTCAAAAGCACGCTTGATGTTCACTACATCAAGCATTTATTCAACCCGAGTTGATCTCATTGGAAGTCTATCTCGTAGATAGATTTAAAAAAAACACAACAAAAAGTTGCTTAATAAAGGTTTCAATACGTTTTGGAAAATCAACGTCGTTAGTTGCACTTCACCACATGATGTCACTGAATACAGGTGTAGAAGTTTGTAGAAGTCATCAAGAGTGAGATGGGTGGGGTAGGGGTGGGGTGGGTTACTCTGTAGAAGTTAGATAAGACAGGAAGTCGCTGAACACAATTGGTCGCTAAGGCACGTTTCACTCATACTTTACCTCTGTAAAAAGTCATACCAAAATTGATCAAAGAATGGAGTTGTGTCATAAACAGGGAATAGACAGCAAGGTATACATAAGAACGCGATGAAATGAACAATCTGTGATGAATCAAAGCCGATATCGTCCAAAGCATACATTAATGATTGCATCAGAAATCACGTAGAGAGGCGCCCACCATTAAATAACTGAAAACCACAGAAACCTACATGATACAAAATCGGAGAAAGCTATATCAAGCACTCTTGGAGAAATAAGGATTTAAACAGTTCCAACTAACACAAGAGGATCCTTATAAAATAGATCAAAGACCCATGAATAACTCTCTGATGAATATGGTAACTGTCAAAATTCAACATGGCCACCTGTCAGCCATCTTGTACACCGACCCGTCTCAAAATAGAATTTGCACAACTAAGGCCCAAAGGAAACTTACGTATAGAGTTTGAATTAGATCCATCAAGGACCTTTAAAAATTAGATATATTTTATATTTTCTTTTTTAAATAAAAATGAAAAACATCTTTAATTATATTTAGACCTGACAGATAAAGATACAACATCAATATATATTTTAATGTTTTATGCACTAAAAGTTAATTAACTTGCTTTGTTAAACATTCTTATACATTTCCTTAACACTCATTCCGTTGTTTGTCTAAGATACTGGTATCACTATTTCTCCGATATTTCGAATGCTTAATTTGATAGGCCTTAGTTAAAGAAATAGCGTGGCCTTCTTTATGCAGGTACAGTAAAACTGTTCCGTTAACTAAAATTGTGTTTGCCTGCAATATATCTAACGTCGCTAACAGCGTCCACAGTTCGTGCATCAAACTTCGCTGTGCAGATAAACTCCGATAGCCGAAGAAGCTGTTTCGACCGGAAAACGTAAAAGCGGAAAGGTTTATATTCCAGTAGAAAATCAGTCTGTTTAACCATTCAGTAACAAATAGTCAAAATACTTTCCCGTCAAAACACATCATACACTTTTTCTACTTTCATTTTGTTCCATGTTAGTGTAATATGCTTAAAGCTTATCGATGTTGTCCGAGGTCCACATATTATTTACTTTTTTATATTTATATATAAAATGTTTTTTATGACAAAATCATTTTTTCCAAAATAATATTTTAGAGTGTAAATGTATTTATTTATTTATTTATTTTTACACTTGTCCCTTCACCTGTAATTATCACTTGATATTCTCTACTGAGACCACTGTAGTTTGATGATGTTTAACAGTTTCTCGTATATTTTGTGACTTGAAACTGTAAAATCAACCGAAGACCTGATGTTTTTGTTATAAACGTGGTAACAGAGAGAATCAAAATAACCTCTCATCTCTTTCCATTTCTTTACCAGTGCATGATATCAGTGGTAATTTTCTTTATTTCGTTTGCTGGCAATACTGAATTCCTGTGTTCTGGAATTTCCCTTTTGGCTATTAAAACTAAAATTATTACGACTTAGCCGAAAAAAAGAACTTGGCAGATTAGTGGTTGGGTAGACTAACATTGTGAAAACAACGGTTTTACTTATTTCAAACTGAACATGATCATACTCTAGTTTTAACACTGTTTGTGTAAAATTTGTAAATCAACACCAGCGCCGAGTTAAAAGGAGTAACTTTACTATAAAGCCAGCATTCATCCTTATTTTGAATATTACTGTGAGGTTTGGCAATGATGCCCTCTTAATAATGCAAACAAAACACAAATCATTACTGGATTTTATAGCAGTAGAGATCCGTTATATTTCTGAAAGCCGTAGTAGATTCGATATTCAGGAGCCAGTTCCTGTCAACACTGAAAAACTCGTAACGTAGGGTTTGAAAAGATGTAGGTTGATGAAAATTATGTGAACGTTTTATGGCCGCCAAAGTGAGACATTGGGAAATATTTTATTTTTTGTGCGAAAGGAATTGTTATATACCTTCTTGTCCATTGAGAACGTGACATTACTTATTTGGAATGACCAGGGTTTGCATAGGGTTGTCGTCGATGAAGCAGAAGACGTTTAATTTTCCGGAACTCCTGGTTTTATTATCCTTGTACTTTTTCCGGTTTGTAAGTCTTTCTTCTGTTCATATTTTGCCGTTGAGTTTGGATTATAATTATATTGACATGTTGGTATTTTCTTAGAACCTAGAATAAAATAACTGTTCTATAAAATACGTAATCAATTCAAACCAAATCACCTGTCTTCTTTGTCACCTATTATGGTTTCAGAAAACACACAATATAACCTTCGTAATGTATATGATTACTCCCTATCAACCTGTTGTCTACAACTAACTTATTCATCCTATTTCCTTCCAAAATCCGACTCTGGAACCACCAAGACCTTGATATCAGTCAAAGCATTTCTTTCATAGTCTTCAAAATTCACTTCTAAATCATATAAGAGTTCATAATTAGTTAAGTCATTAGAAATAACGATGTGTATGTGTACTTCAAACAATGATCCATTCTGCTGTAACTTAATTAATCACCGTCATTGTTGATGTGGACAACCTGTTGAAGATTTGCGGGGTAATTCTGCTGCTCCTGACAAGTCGACCAGATTGTAAATATATATTGCAGACGTTGATCTGTACATATCATGTTGCTCGGGCCCTCAGTTAGCCAGGTGTTCATTTCAGTCAATGCATCAGTGAACGTGTTCATTTCAATCAGTCACAGCTAGCTTCCGTCGTTTTCTCAATTCAAACAAGGTATTTAATAGGAATTTTTAACCAATGTTTTCTCATTTTCACCTTGTGTATACCCCGTAACCAGGTGATCTGCCCTCTGTAATCCGTATGATTATTTTGTTGCCTAAATGACCCAGTTTGCTTCATCCCACCTCTCATCAGAGCCTTACATCCAATTATTCTTAACTGTTTTTGCAATAAGATAAAACAGACATGTAGCTGATTGTTTTCGTGTAAAACAGATAACTGGTTTGATTTTTTTTTTTAATTTCTCAAACAGCAAAGTCTTCTTAAGTGTATGGGGTCATTTTCGAAAACAATATGAAAAAACCTAGCTGTATGCAACAAAAAACAAACGACAATTATTAATTTTTACTTCATTTTATAATTTTAACAAAATCGATCTGAAAGCTTTTAACAACACGGAAAGTCACAAAGGCAGGTGTCTCCCAGTAGGAGTTATCGTTCTTGGTGTCAGTTCGTCAGCCTACTGCTGATTACTAACTTAGAAGTAGGTTAAAACCGACATATAGGAAGCGAACACATTTATATACACGTAACAAATATACTTCGTAGTTCCATGGGTTAATATACATTATATATTTTTATCTTAAGAAGACAAACAAAACGTCACACACACAAATCTACGCCCACCATTCAGTCTGTCTTTAAGAAAATGAAAGCGCTTTGCATTGACACGTCAAACCGACCACTTGCCGCAGCAATCCATACCTACTGATATGCATCCTCTTCTGAATTCTTCGTTTTTTTCCTTTAGTTCAAAACTCTTACTTTCTCGCATTCAACGCCGTCTTCCACTTCTCAATAAACTAAATCTTAATCCTCAGGCTAGGTCACGTGATATAAATACATATATATTAGATTTATATATACCATGTTGGTTTATGCTTGTTTTGATCAATATTTGATCCTATATACAAATGAAGCCTAAGCCACGCCCTTTTAACCTCTCTAAGAACTAAAGCGTGTCTAAGCGCTTGAACGCTTTGTATCCTTCTCATAGACTCATGAATGTTCTGCTATAAACTATGTATATATACTGTGTAACTAATAAAAATACACCAGTGTTACTTGTTCATATATCCGGCATAGTGATCAATTCAGAACTTTCACATGTGCAAAGTGAAATCGAACTCCTCTCCTGAATGATGGTAACAGTGAGTCATTGCTATTTCTATAGTCGTCCTAACATTATATCACAGCTGTGAACGTCACTATCCGCCTACCAATCACAGCTGTGGGTGTCTCTTACTGCCCGCCAATCACAGCTGTGGGTGTCTCTTACTGCCTACCAATCACAGCTGTGGGTGTCATTAACCGCCTACCAATCACAGCTGTGAGTTTTACTAACTTCCCGCTAATCACAGCTCTGTGTTTCAGTAACTTTCAGCCAATCACAGTTCCGAAGGTCAATAACTATCCGCCAGTTAGCGAACATGTGTCGCTAACGATGCATGGTGCTTGTCAACACGACGACCAATCAGCAGCCACAATTATAGCTGACGTGTTTCAGATCGATGTTCTTATAGATAGCCCGGGTCACCATTTTCACACGACATTTATTTTTCTTGGAACACTTTGCCATTGACCTTATCAGCTTTTTCTTAAAGTTCCTGACTTGTTCTGAAATTTGAGATAATTAATTTTAAACATAGTAAAATGTAAACAATACATTAACCGGACACAGTCTGATAAATCATACCTCACGTCTTATTCTTTTGAAAACTTGTGTCCAGTTCTTTTGCATATAAATAAACACATTAATACCCGCTATTTGTCGAACTGATCGCTTGGTTCCGACCGCGTCCTTATAAATTTTTTGTCATCTAACCTCGGATTTCTCGAGCCGTTACTTCGCATACCTCGAACTAACTTATATTCCTGTCGCTTCATGTTCATAGTATTTTTTTACCCTCTATTCGTCAAACAAGTGCCGAACTTAACCTGGCAGGACAGCAGAAAATACCTGGTTTACCGTGGTATGATTAACATCCTTTATTGCCATTTAATGTGTAATTTAATTGTTTCACTGAGAAATTTCATCTCTTTAAAATTGAATAACTCAACGTTAAAAAATCAACCGTTGTTCGAAAGAAAATATTCACATGGAGACTCATGAAATAGTACAGAGAGAATAAGACCAGGTGTTCCGGAAGAGTAAGCGACTTCTGCTTCATTGACAATTCCGGCCTTGTAATTCTTGGCCAATCCGAGTAAGTAATGTCACGTTCTCAAACGAGAACAAAGTATACAACAACGGAACCAACAAGCAAATGATGTCATAAATCAATACAAACTAATATCATAGATTAGACTGGTCGCAGCATTAGATACGTCATTGAAGGGCACGGTTGGTCGGTACCTGGCGATCTACGACAAACCTGATAACTCCTAATAACCCGTAATCCTCGAATAACTGACATGGTCAACTTTGACTTAGCGGGATTTTAGTGTATGTTTAAATCAAAATTTCTCTAAAATATTCGAAGAAAACAAAATGACATTCTTCACTTAAAGAGGGTTCGAGGTTTGTTAACAAATTTCATAAGGACTCATTTAATTTTCTGGTCGATTTTATTTTGTGTTATCAAGCTTCAAAATCTAAGTCATTATGTTTTTCTTATTTACTTAATACATTCGACTTACTTTTTGGTGTAGAACCAAAAATCATTTCCTGTGTGACTTGTTTCCGGAAGTGATCCGATGGAAACGTAAACTTTTCCAGGCCTGACAGACGGATGTTTGCGGACATGGCCTTACACTTCTTCTGTGCTGGTAGATTGACATCACAAACTGTTGGGGAAAATCAGAAACGTTATAAATGGAAGAAAAAAGTTCAGAGTGAGAAAGGCTCGAATGAGGGACGTCCCAATGAGAAAGGTCCGAATGAGAGACGAGTGACGTCCCAATGAGAAAGGTCCGAACGAGGAGGGTCAAAATGAGAGAGGCCCGAATGGGGACATCCCAATGAGAAAGGCCCGAATGGGGGACGTCCCAATGAGAAAGGCCCCAATGAGAGACAAGTGACGTCCCAATGAGAAAGGCCCGAATGAGGGACGCCCCAATGAGAAAGGCCCGAATGAGAGACGAGGGACGTCCCAATGAGAAAAGTCCCGATGAGAGACATCCAAATGAGAAAGGCCCGAATGAGGGACGTCCCAATGAGATAGGTCCCGATGAGAGACGTCCCAATGAGAAAGGCCCGAATGAAAGACATCCCAATGAGAAAGGTCCCGATGAGAGACGTCCCAATGAGATAGGTCCCGATGAGAGGCCTCCCATTGAGAAAGATCAGAATGAGAGCCGTTCCAATGAGAAAGGCCCGAAGAAGAGGCGTCCCAATGAGAAAGGCCCCAAGGAGAGACGTCCCAATGAGAAAGGTTCGAATGAGGGACCTCCAAATGAGAAAGGTCCGGATGAGGGATGTCCCAATGAAAAAGGTCCGAATGAGGGAGGTCCAAATGAGAAAGGTCCGAATGAGGGAGGTCCAAATGAAAAGGCCCGCATGAGGGACGTCCCAATGAGAAAAGGTCCGAATGAGGGACGTCCCAATGAGAAAGGTCCGAATGAGGGAGGTCCAAATGAGAAAGGTCCGAATGAGGGAGGTCCAAATGAGAAAGGCCCGAATGAGGGACGTCCCAATGAGAAAGGCCCGAATGAGGGACCTCCCAATGAGAAAGGTCCGAATGAGGGAGGTCCAAATGAGAAAGGTCCGAATGAGGGGGTCCAAATGAGAAAGGTCCGAATGAGGGAGTTCCCAATGAGAAAGGCCCGAATGAGGGAGGTCCCAATGAGAAAGGTCCGAATGAGGGAGGTCCGAATGAGGGACGCCCAGTGAGATAAGTTCTTTTGTTCGTTAAAGATTTGAGTGAGAAACTTAAAATAACACACCTTGAAATGTCCTGATGATTAAGATATATATGAGTTTACACCTTTCTAAGTATTCTCGACTAGCCGCCATAATTCACAGGTCTTTGAGCAATAGAACTTATTACAGTAAAACTATGTGGTTCGTTCCATGCCCCAAGTATTTGACAGATCTGAATGTCACTGTTTAAAGGTTCTGGGGGAACATGATTCGCTTTATATTTATTCATCAATATTCATTTTTAACTTGTCATGGTGATAACCATTCCTACTTGAACGAAGCAGCAGAGTATGTTTTCACTTTTGGAGAATATGTACAAAGCATGGAAGACAAATTTACAGTACCTCTCTGCTTCAGTCTCCAGCGCCACACCTCCACCTGGTGTGATTTAGCGTCGTCAAATGCCACAAAAAGAAACCTGCCTCCCACATAACGATACACTATGTGGTCTCGCTTCTTAGACATACACATTTGCCCATAAAAATCCGGAATTGTCAGATTATTTGTATCAATATTGTCTCTTAATGAAGGAAGTGACGTCACATCAACAACTGGCGCGGTCCCCGACTGACTATCTTGATTTCGATTTTTCCGATCTTTCTTTCTATTTTGCCTCTTCCCTGTAAAAACAAAAGCATTCTGCACTAGATACCGACGGGGTCATACGTATGAGCTATCCGTTCATGAATGTATGAATGTGTGGGTATTACGTCACTCATTCCCTGTATGAATGTGTGGGTATTACGTCACTCATTCCCTGTATGAATGTGTGGGTATTACGTCACTCATTCCCTGTATGAATGTGTGGGTATTACGTCACTCATTCCCTGTATGAATGTGTGGGTATTACGTCACTCATTCCCTGTATGAATGTTTGGGTATTACGTCACTCATTCCCTGTATGAATGTGTTGGTATTAGAATAGTAGTGACGGATATTCCTTCCCTCTACTAAATGATCGGGAATAAATCCCTCTTTATTCTATAGAGTACTATGCCTTTCTATCTCCCAATACACTATGGCTCTCTGACGCCTGTATTTATATAGGAGCGATAAGATAATACATTTTGATGTATACTCATTAAACTCACCATTTTTCTTTTTATTTCTTTTATTCTTCCTGCGCATGCTCGTCAAGCAGACCTTTCTGGGCTTCTTCTTCCGGCGACAGGTCTTACAGCAGGAGTTTCCTCGCCGTCTGGGGTTCTTGCAGGGGAGAAGATCGTCAGGTGGACACGTGAGTTTATGACAGTCTATTTCTCCGTTCTACAAATGTAAAGATCAGACACGTGCGTGGTAAAATCTGGGGAAAAGGTTCATTTTCCACAGGAACCATCTGAACATTTCACAATCAAATGACCATGACTCTTTTCATCTGACCACGATCTTGTCATCGGACCATGATCCTTTAATCATACCACGTTCTTGTCATCTGACCACGATCCTTTAAACATACCACGATCTTTTCATCTGACCATGATTTTGTCATCTGACCACGATCTTGTCAACTGACCACGATCCTTTGATCCCTACAGAAAATGTAGTATGTAGAGAAAATATGAAGACCGAGACTGGATTTTGGAGATATGGAGCGTATCAGTACTTACCAGACAAGAACACGTGACACAGTTGGATACTTGTGGTCGCCATTCCGACCCGTTCTCGTGGATCGTTCCTTCCGAGTCCAGACAATCTGTAACAGAAAGTGTGAATCCAGTCTCACATACAACACATAACACATCATACGTAACCATAGCAATACACGATGTCCTCACGCAAACACCTCACCACGGCATCCAAAAATTTAGTGATAGTTTCGTAAAATATCTGACATGATCGGCGACCAATTAAGTAATGAAACCATGGTTACATGTTAAGTATCGTCCTTCAGTCTGGACAAAGGTACACGTGACTAATTTTTAGACTTGTTCAAAAAACATACAACTGAATTCAATGAAGTACTGATAAATGCACAGTTTATGACGAACAATAAAGACGGGTATTTACCACATGTGACAGCGTTTAGTATAAAGGTTGGGTATTGATCACACGTGACAACGTATAGTATACAGTTTGGGTATTTATCACACGTGACAACGTTTAGTATAAATGTCGGGTATATATCACACGTGAGAACGTTTAGTATTAAGGTCGGGTATGTATCGCACGTGACAACGTTTATTTTAAAATTCGGGTATTTATCACACGGGAAAACGTGTAGTATAAAGAACGGGTATTTACCACACGTGACAACATTTAGTATAAAGGTTGTATTTACCACCCGTGACAACATTTAGTATAAAGGACGGGTATTTACCACACGTGACAACATTTAGTATAAAGGTGGGGTATTTATGACACGTGACAACGTTTAGTATAAAGAACGGGTATTTATCACACGTGACAACATTTAGTATAAAGGTGGGGTATTTATCACACGTGACAACGTTTAGTATAAAGGTTGGGTATTTACCACACGTGAGAACGTTTAGTATAAAGGACGGGTATTTATGACACGTGACAACGTTTAGTATAAAGGTGGGGTATTTATGACACGTGACAACGTTTAGTATAAAGGACGGGTATTTACTACACGTGACAACGTTTAGTATAAAGGACGGGTATTTACTACACGTGACAACATTTAGTATAAAGGACGGGTATTTACTACACGTGACAACGTTTAGTATAAAGGACGGGTATTTACTACACGTGACAACATTTAGTATAAAGGACGGGTATTTATGACACGTGACAACGTTTAGTATAAAGGACGGGTATTTATGACACGTGACAACGTTTAGTATAAAGGACGGGTATTTATCTCACATGACAACGTTTAGTATAAAGGTTGGGTATTTATTACACGTGACAACGTTTAGTATAAAGGACGGGTATTTACTACACGTGACAACGTTTAGTATAAAGGTGGGGTATTTATCACACGTCACGTTTAGTATAAAGGTTGGGTATTTACCACACGTGACAACGTTTAGTATAAAGAACGGGTATTTACTACACGTGACACCGTTTAGTATAAAGGACGGGTATTTACTACACGTGACAACGTTTAGTATAAAGGTGGAGTATTTATCACACGTCACAACGTTTAGTATAAAGGTTGGGTATTTACCACACGTGACGACGTTTAGTATAAAGGACGGGTATTTACCACAAGGAATAACGTTTGTTATAGGGTCGGGTATTTACCACAAGGAATAATGTTTGGTATAAAGGACGGGTATTTACCACAAGGAATAATGTTTGTTATAAAGGCCGGGTATTTACCACAAGGAATAACGTTTGTTATAGGGTCGGGTATTTACCACAAGGAATAATGTTTGGTATAAAGGTCGGGTATTTACCACAAGGAATAATGTTTGTTATAAAGGCCGGGTATTTACCACAAGGAATAACGTTTGTTATAAAGGCCGGGTATTTACCACAAGGAATAACGTTTGTTATAAAGGCCGGGTATTTACCACAAGGAATACCGTTTGTTATAAAGGCCGGGTATTTACCACAAGGAATAACGTTTGTTATAAAGGCCGGGTATTTACCACAAGGAATAATGTTTGTTATAGGGTCGGGTATTTACCACAAGGAATAATGTTTGTTATAAAGGCCGGGTATTTACCACAAGGAATAACGTTTGTTATAAAGGCCGGGTATTTACCACAAGGAATAATGTTTATTATAAAGGACGGGTATTCACCACAAGGAATAATGTTTGTTATAAAGGCCGGGTATTTACCACAAGAAATAATGTTTGTTATAAAGGCCGGGTATTTACCACAAGGAATAACGTTTGTTATAAAGGTCGGGTATTTACCACAAGAAATAACGTTTGTTATAGGGTTGGGTATTTACCACAAGGAATAATGTTTGTTATAAAGGCCGGGTATTTACCACAAGGAATAATGTTTGTTATAAAGGCCAGGTATTTACCACGAGGAATAACGTTTGTTATAGAGTCGGGTATTTACCACAAGGAATAACGTTTGTTATAAAGGTCGGGTATTTACCACAAGGAATAACGTTTGTTATAGGGTTGGGTATTTACCACAAGGAATAATGTTTGTTATAAAGGCCGGGCATTTACCACAAGGAATAACGTTTGTTATAAATGCCGGGTATTTACCACAAGGAATAATGTTTGTTATAGGGTTGGGTATTTACCACAAGGAATAACGTTTGTTATAAAGGACGGGTATTTACCACAAGGAATAACGTTTGTTATAGAGTCGGGTATTTACCACAAGGAATAACGTTTGTTATAAAGGTCGGGTATTTACCACAAGGAATAACGTTTGTTATAAAGGTCGGGTATTTACCACAAGGAATAACGTTTGTTATAAAGGTCGAGTATTTACCACAAGGAATAACGTTTGTTATAAAGGTCGGGTATTTACCACAAGGAATAACGTTTGTTATAAAGGCCGGGTATTTACCACAAGGAATAACGTTTGTTATAAAGGCCGGGTATTTACCACAAGGAATAACGTTTGTTATAAAGGCCGGGTATTTACCACAAGGAATAACGTTTGTTATAAAGGCCGGGTATTTACCACAAGGAATAATGTTTGTTATAAAGGCCGGGTATTTACCACAAGGAATAATGTTTGGTATAAAGGCCGGGTATTTACCACAAGGAATAATGTTTGTTATAAAGGCCGGGTATTTACCACAAGGAATAATGTTTGTTATAAAGGCCGGGTATTTACCACAAGGAATAACGTTTGTTATAGGGTCGGGTATTTACCACAAGGAATAATGTTTGTTATAAAGGCCGGATATTTAACACACGGGATAATATTTGGTATAAAGGCCGGGTATTTACCACAAGGATTAACGTTTGTTATAAAGGCCGGATATTTAACACACGGGATAATATTTGGTATAAAGGCCGGGTATTTACCACAAGGAATAACGTTTGTTATAAAGGACGGGTATTTACCACAAGGAATAACGTTTGTTATAAAGGACGGGTATTTACCACACGGGAAAAAGCAAAGGTATTTCGAGATAGTCACGAACGTGTCGCCTTACCGTGCTCAGCTTTATGTTCGATGTCTACTGAAGAACTGTTCTCATCAAGCGAGGCGTTAACGTCGTCTGCAAGTGTAAAGTGTACGTAAGGATAGGGACAAACTTTTACAACCTTTCGTGTTCCACGCGAACCAATGAAAATTCATTTGAATACGTACCGTTCAATCAGTTATGGTTGCTGAACACAGACCGAAGGTCGGGATCATCAAGGAAATCAAATGTTTGGCAGGATTTTGAATTATTACTTTAATCAAAGTTAAACAATTTTATGAAGAAGCCTCGCTTGATAAGACATGTTAGGGTGGTGTTTATATGTTGACAAGATCTTGTATACAAATAAAAAAAAAACTGCAGATTCATTTATCTTATCAACAAAGCTGAAACTGATCGACCGGGAACATAAAGATGATTGTAGCAAAAATGAAAAAAAAAATAAATAAAATTTCTATGAATAATGATGCATGCACGTGGTAGAAACAGAATGAGAAATAGAACCCGGACAAACAAAAATCTCAGCATATTTTGATAATCTTTGTTATGTGAAATATCACGTCCTATTTATAGATATGATAATTTAAGGACAGTTCTGTAGAAATAGTGCGTCCTATTAACATATATGATCATTCAAGGACAGTTCTGTAGGAATAGTGCGTCCTATTAATAGATATGATCATATAAGGACAGTTCTGTAGGAATAGTGCGTCCTATTAATAGATATGATCATATAAGGACAGTTCTGTAGGAATAGTGCGTCCTATTAACATATATGATCATTTAAGGACAGTTCTGTAGGAATAGTGCGTCCTATTAACATATATGATCATTAAAGGACAGTTCTGTAGGAATAGTGCGTCCTATTAATAGATATGATCATATAAGGACAGTTCTGTAGGAATAGTGCGTCCTATTAATAGATATGATCATATAAGGACAGTTCTGTAGGAATAGTGCGTCCTATTAATAGATATGATCATTTAAGACAGTTCTGTAGGAATAGTGCGTCCTATTAATAGATATGATCATTTAAGACAGTTCTGTAGGAATAGTGCGTCCTATTAACTTATATGATCATTTAAGGACAATTCTGTAGGAATATTGCGTCCTATTAACATATATGATCTTTAAAGGACGGTTTTGTATCTACATTGTCCTATTAACAGATAAGATCGATGACTGGTAATGTCTACAAGAGTCTACGTTTGGTTCTGTAGCTAGAATCCTTGTGATCGTATTCAAATGTATTACTTTCAGATTTCAAATAGGCTAACAACCTGCACATTGGGGACATCACTCTTTAACAACACTTCAATAAGGAACTTTCCTACATATAACAAAGTAAACTAAGCAAGAAGACTTAACTGTACATTGTGGACACCGACTAAAGCTTGGGGCCACACATCAGTGAACGTTAAACAAAGAGGCCTACCTGTACATTGTGGACACCGACTGAAGCTTGGGGCCACACATTAGTAAACGTTAAACTAAGAGGCCTACCTGTACATTGTGGACACCGACTGAAGCTTGGGGCCACACATCAGTAAACGTTAAACTAAGAGGCCTACCTGTACATTGTGGACACCGACTGAAGCTTGGGACCACACATCAGTGAACGTTAAACAAAGATACCTACCTGTACATTGTGGATACCGATTGAAGCTTGGGCCACACATCAGTAAACGTTAAACTAAGAGGCCTACCTGTACATTGTGGACACCGACTGAAGCTTGGGGCCACACATCAGTAAACGTTAAACTAAGAGGCCTACCTGTACATTGTGGACACCGATTACAGCTTGTGACCACACATCAGTGAACGTTAAACTAAGAGGCCTACCTGTACAATGTGGACACCGATTGAAGCTTGGGCCACACATCAGTGAACGTTAAACTTAGAGGCCTACCTGTACATTGTGGACACCGATTGAAGCTTGGGCCACACATCAGTGAACGTTAAACTTAGAGGCCTACCTGCACATTGTGGACACCGATTACAGCTTGGGGCCACACATCAGTGAACGTTAAACTAAGAGGCCTACCTGTACATTGTGGACACCGACTGAAGCTTGGGGCCACACATTAGTAAACGTTAAACTAAGAGGCCTACCTGTACATTGTGGACACCGACTAAAGCTTGTCACCACACATCAGTGAACGTTAAACTAAGAAGCCTACCTGTACATTGTGGACACCGATTACATCTTGGGGCCACACATCAGTGAACGTTAAACTTAGAGGCCTACCTGTACAATGTGGACATCGACTAAAGCTTGTGACCACACATCAGTGAACGTTAAACTTAGAGGCCTACCTGTACAATGTGGACACCGATTGAAGCTTGGGCCACACATCAGTGAACGTTAAACTTAGAGGCCTACCTGCACATTGTGGACACCGATTACAGCTTGGGCCACACATCAGTGAACGTTAAACTTAGAGGCCTACCTGCACATTGTGGACACCGATTACAGCTTGGGCCACACATCAGTGAACGTTAAACTTAGAGGCCTACCTGCACATTGTGGACACCGATTACAGCTTGGGGCCACACATCAGTGAACGTTAAACTAAGAGGCCTACCTGTACATTGTGGACATCGACTAAAGCTTGTCACCACACATCAGTGAACGTTAAACTAAGAAGCTTACCTGTACATTGTGGACACCGATTACATCTTGGGGCCACACATCAGTGAACGTTAAACTTAGAGGCCTACCTGTACAATGTGGACACCGATTGAAGCTTGGGCCACACATCAGTGGACGTTAAACTTAGAGGCCTACCTGCACATTGTCGACAACAATTGTCACTATGGTTCAGCCATTTCTTACACTTCTTTGGAATGTTGCAAGTTTTCAAGTAGCAGAGTACATCCCCTTTCTGTAATATCAACAAGAAAACAAAGCATTAATATCTTCCGTTTTAAACAAAGCTACTTACATCTCGCTGTAAGTCATCGGGTTACATGGTTTCCAGTTGCACAGCAGTATTTGGACATGTACAAGTGTTAGACTCCCAGCGGCAGAAGAAGCCAAATCAGTGTTAATATAACTGGATTGGTAAAGATGTTGTAGGTTTTGGTGCCAGAACAAACCTGAGTTTGTCCTAAATATAACTAGTCCCGTTTAAACCCATATAACTAGCGATGTAGACGAGGTACCGCCAGGTCTAGATCATCACATCCTCTATAGCTAATTGAAGAAGTTTTAAGATTTGTAAATTTAGAAGTTCGCAAGCAAATCATATATAGTAATGTCGATAAGACTTAGCGGAACAGAACTGTACTGGTCACAAGAGACCAGGTACCTGTTAGGCAAGCATATCTGTGGATCCTTGGTTCGAATCCTGAGTATCCCTATTGTGAGTACATGTTTGGAGTACATACTCACCGTACATATACAGTTGATACACTGGTTATCGGCGTTGAGTATGATGCCGGTTGAATTGGAGGTGAATACTTCGCCGTCCGAGTACTCGTCCCCGTCGTACTGACATCCCTTTCCACCGTTGTCTGCCTCCCCATTGTCGCCTGGCACGACTGTAGGAGGAAGGTTGGCAAAATCTACATGAAAATAGTGGCCCACTCTTACCCATTCGTCTAACAAGCAAATTATAAAACATGCAAACCAAACAAAAGGTACGAGGTCCTTAAAAGGTCATCACACAGGGACAGAGCGATGCTACAATATGTTATTGTGTGACATGCAGTTCAATATATAGATATATCTGATATATATCTTGGTGAATTGTGAAATTCAAATTGTCTTGCCGACAAAGTTTAAAGGTAAGTAATATTGAAAGTATACAAATCACAGACCGAATGTTACGAACTCAAAACGAGTCTATTCTCGTTGCCTTAACTTTCCGGGGAAAAAAACAACAAAACAAAAAACCAAACAAAAAAAACTTTAAAGTTATCTCTTTTGTTGTCCATGATAGTAACTTTTCCTTTCTGTTCATTTTCAGTTACAAAATAATTGGATAAAAATGAGCTTCACATTGAAGGAGTAAGGGAGGTAACTCGTGCGATCATGACCGCTTTGCGGGCAAGCATCGGTCCAGTCCCTGTTTAAACAGAGTGGTGGCTGTCCATGCAATATTTAAAGGTTTTTACTTGAGATAAAGCACAGAAAATTTTTAGATGTGTCTTTTAAATGCATAGTTGTCTTTTTTCTGAATTTCCAAGCCTTGTATCATCTAGATGTCCAAACTGTTATTATTAGAGCATGCCCCCATATGTTATTGTATCGTGCAGTAACCATGCATTATATACATATATCATACATAATTTTCTAATGCATGATATGACGACATCAAACACCTATATCCCAAATGTATAGACTTCCGTTTAACTGAGGGGACGAAATAAGCACGAAATAATTTCACGGTGTGTAATTCATCATATATTGGCCGACTCTCATTTCTCAATGATACATTTTAGAATGAAAAGTGAAAGTTCGTCTTCAAAACAAGTCTGGATACATTTTAGAATGGAAAACGACAGTTCGTTTTCAAAACAAGTCTGGATACATTTTAGAAATGAAAGCGACAGTTCGTTTTCAAAACAAGCCTGGATACCTTTAAGAATGAAAAGCGACAGTTCGTCTTCAGACCATACAAAACGAGTCTGGATACATTTTAGAAATGAAAGCGACAGTTCGTTTTCAAAACAAGCCTGGATACCTTTAAGAATGAAAAGCGACAGTTCGTCTTCAGACCATACAAAACGAGTCTGGATACATTTTAGAATGGAAAGCGACAGTTCGTTTTCAAAACAAGTCTGGATACATTTTAGAATGGAAAGCGACAGTTCGTTTTCAAAACAAGCCTGGATACCTTTAAGAATGAAAAGCGACAGTTCGTCTTCAGACCATACAAAACGAGTCTGGATACATTTTAGAATAAAAAGCGACAGTTCGTCTTCAGACAATACAAAATGAGGCTGGATATATTTTAGAATGAAATGCGAAAGTTCATTTTCAAAACGAGTCTGGGTACTGTAATAAAGTCAGCCACGTTATTCCAAATTGTTTTTGCGAACTTTTATGTTTTTTGTTCTGATTTTCAGTCGATACACTGAGGACTGAATTCGTGAAAAAAATAAAGTGGACCCTGTCGTTACCGACACATGGCGTAAGAACACGTTAAAATACTTCAGGAAGATCGGTTTCTGTATACTGGGCGGTGTCGATATGGACAGGTTTCACTTTACTGTCAGCTGGTGAACAACAAATACATTTCAAACCAATGTCATTCAAGGTGAGTGATGACGTCATAAGAAACCAAACGTTCAAATGGTCACCACTTTTAAAAGTTTATTTCTTGCCATCCGATGTTGACAATGGTTTAAACAAGCTTTGTGTATAAGGAGAAACAAAGGTGGATCAGCAGTGTGAATATCTGCTACTATATTCTTCGAAGACTAAGGTGAGCAGCTGAACATTGATTCACGATAATTTCAAATAAGAGAATTGTGGTTCCGAAACAGCTTACCTTCACAGAAAGGGCAACACACACCGGGCACAATCTTAGGCTCTGTACACGAGGGTGTTGGGCAGTGCTCCTTCACGCAATCCACCCGCGTCTGAAAGCAGGTTTAAAGTTTACCGACGGGCGTCACAAAGTGGAATTATATATAATGGTCCCAGTCTCACGAATCCTTGTAAGCTTCGGAATTTTCCTTAACTTTAAATTCCAAGTTGGAAACCATACTTTAAGGAAATTTCCTGAAATTTAAGTTTTCCCTTCACTTACGTAAAGGTTTTTCTATGGTAGTTAGAATTTCATAAGGTAAGGAAGATTCCTGAAACTAGTCACTGGTTACGGAGGTGACTAATTAACATCAGATGTTTGTCACGTCAGTGGAAAAGTCAAAATTATACAGTGAAAAATCACAGGGACTGGACACATCTACCGTCAAACTCGCGTTCTACATACAGTGAAAATCACAGGGACTGGACACATATACCGTCAAACTCGCGTTCTACATACAGTGAAAATCACAGGGACTGGACACATACACCGTCAAACTCGCGTTCTACATACAGTGAAAATCACAGGGACTGGACACATACACCGTCAAACTCGCGTTCTACATACAGTGAAAATCACAGGGACTGGACACATCCACCATCAAACTCGCGTTCTACATACAGTAAAAATCACAGGGACTGGACATATACACCGTGAAAGTCACTTTCTACAAACATTGAAAATCACAGGGACTGGACACATACACCGTCAAACTCGCGTTCTACATACAGTGAAAATCACAGGGACTGAACACATACACGGTCAAACTCGCGTTCTACATACAGTGAAAATCACAGGGACTGGACACATCCACCGTCAAACTCGCGTTCTGCATACAGTGAAAATCACAGGGACTGGACACATATACCGTCAAACTCGCGTTCTACAGTGAAAATCACAGGGACTGGAAACATCTACCGTCAAACTCGCGTTCTACATACAGTGAAAATCACAGGGACTGGACACATATACCGTCAAACTCGCGTTCTACATACAGTGAAAATCACTGGGACTGGACACATACACCGTTAAACTTGCTTTCTACACACATTGAAAATTTCAGGGACTGGACACATCCACCGTCAAACTCGCTTTCTACACACATTGAAAATCACAGGGAATGGACACATACACCGTCAAACTCGCGTTTGACTGACAGTGCAAAAATTATAGAAGTTGAACACTTATTCCGAAAAACACGCCTTCGACGGAAAATTACAATTGACTTCATCAAGATCTCGGAAGGGCGACAGTGAGAATTCGCAGGGCTAGACACTTTTATCGGCGAATTACTTACTCCGTTACAGGTACAGTTCACGCATTCGTTGAACCTCCAAACATCTCCGTCCGCATAGTTTGTCTTTCCGAGTACACAAGTCGATTCTGTAATGAAAATATACATACAACACATGCATTGCTCCCTAAAATGGGTGTGTGATTATGAGGCAGGAGTTTGGAGAGGATTTTTTTCTGATTATAGATCCGGGTCGGCGAAGGAGGGTGTGATCAAATGATTTAGTGAGTGGGTGAAAAACGACATACTGTATTTTTGTAGTCTGTGTGATATTGGTTAAAAACATGTCCTTATTCACCTAGACTGTACAAAATTCTCAGTCGGCGAGGCCCCTGTAACAAAGTTCCATGTCCCTGTGCGGGACCCAGTTGGTGAGGCCCCTGTAACAAAGTTCCAAGTCCCTGTGCGGGACCCAGTTGGTGAGGCCCCTGTAACAAAGTTCCAGGTCCCTGTGCGGGACCCAGTTGGTGAGGCTCCTGTAATAACGTTCCAGGTTCCTGTACGGGACCCAGTTGGTGAGGGCCCTGAAACAAAGTTCCAGGTCCCTGTGCGGGACCCAGTTAGTGAGGCCCCTGTAACAAAGTTCCAGGTCCCTGTGCGGGACCCAGTTGGTGAGGGCCCTGTCCTGTACGGGACCCAGTTGGTGAGGCCCCTGTAACAAAGTTCCTGGTCCCTGTGCGGGACCCAGTTGGTGAGGCCCCTGTAACAAAGTTCCAGGTCCCTGTGCGGGACCCAGTTGGTGAGGGCCCATTTCCTGTACGGGACCCAGTTGGTGAGGCCCCTGTAACAAAGTTCCAGGTCCCTGTGCGGGACCCAGTTGGTGAGGGCCCTGTAACAAAGTTCCAGGTCCCTGTGCGGGACCCAGTCGGTGGGATGAACACCGTCTCAGCTCTAAATTTGTAAATGGTCTGTTTATTTGCGTTTTGAATTGGCATGACAGATTTAAATAAGCTAACAAAGTGTTTGTGTGTCTGGAAGAAAGTGGAGAAAATCGCGCTCAGCAACCTTGTAGCATGTTCGTGATCACACAGAATGTGTTACATTCACGTCATACCAGCTACTTACTAGATAGAAGGATGGACGAGTTCACTTTGAAATGGTGCTGCTAAATACCGCTTCCACACAATCTTTCACACATTAGGAACAATGATGAATTACCTATATATCTATATATTTACTTTACTAGAGAAGTGGGCGCGGTCATGGCTTAAGAGGTTACGTTCCTCAATAACATTTTACCTCATTGTCGATCCGGAACTCTCGCATTATCTCGATTCTTTATTGGACTCCGATCTTAATTTCAACTCGAGAGATAAACAAATTCTTTGTTGTGACTAATACGTTGTTTTTTTTAAATATTGAAAACAAGTGTGTGTATGAATAAGCACATAGGTGCAGCCGTGATACATTATCGAAATCCTTAAATTTCCTATTGATGTATGTAAGTCTAAATGGTTTCTTTCTCATTCAATTTCGCCCTTTGTTGTAAACATTCTTTTTTTAGAAGTGTAGTCAAAGGTTTGTTTTGAATACCCCTAAAATTAGACGGAAATATATCTGATCGCACATATAGGTCACCGAGTTCATTTGATTTGAAATCGAACCGTGTCACTTTAAAGTAAACTGCCGATGAGTGAAATGGTATTAATAGTTATCATGTTGATCAAGAGTTTCTGTGACGGTGAGTATCATCTGATACACCTACATTTTACGTCATCATCTTGACATGGGGTCATGACCCCTGCGTTCTACGCCCCGTTGAATACGGCGGAAGTGCATATCAGATGGTCCCATTTTATATCAAATGTGGGTGAATGATTGGTAATACTGGGGAGGTAAACACGTAATTATATGTGTACAGTATTTAACATCAGTCCCAGGTTGTCTGACGGCACGCGCCATACTTTGTAAATACATATCCTGTTCGAAGACGTCACAAATACCTATCAAGTTTCGCGTATAATTGTACATAAACAATGATAAGATCGTGTCAGCTTGTGTCACAAATAAAACATCAAGATCTGCACTAAAATGAAATTATATTTAAAGGTAAAAAGTCCTTTCTGAACTTTCTAAAGATGAAACAAATAAAAATACACAATATAAGACAGATAATGATTCAGTAGGATTGTATGACGTCATAGATCCATTGCCGTGAGGGTCTATATGATGTCATAGAGGTTGTGATCCATTAAACTGCCGTGGTGGTCTGTTTGGCGACATGGAGGTTGTGATCCATTAAAACTGCCGAGAGGGTCTGTATGATGTCATGGAGGTTGTGATCCATTAAAACTGCCGAGAAGGTCTGTATGATGTCATGGAGGTTGTGATCCATTAAAACTGCCGAGAGGGTCTGTATGATGGCATGTGGTTTGTGATTCATTAAAACTGCCGAGAGGGTCTGTATGCTGTCATGGAGTTTGTGGTTCATTAAAGCTGCCGAGAGGGTCTGTATGCTGTCATGGAGTTTGTGATTCATTAAAGCTACCTTCTAAACCTGCATGGCGTCATGAATTTTCTAATAACCCAAAACTACCTTTAAAGTCTCTTCTCACTATCCATCTTAATTAGACAGTGGAGGGGGCCCGTCTCTTCTCACTATCCATCTTAATTAGACAGTGTAGGGGGCCCGTCTCTTCTCACTGTCCATCTTAATTAGACAGTGTAGGAACCCCGTCTCTTCTCACTATCCATCTTAATTAGACAGTGTAGGGGCCTATCTCTTCTCACAATCCATCTTAATTAGACAGTGTAGGAACCCCGTCTCTTCTCACTATCCATCTTAATTAGACAGTGTAGGGGCCCGTCTCTTCTCACTATCCATCTTAATTAGACAGTGTAGGGAGCCCGTCTCTTCTCACTGTCCATCTTAATTAGACAGTGTAGGGGCCCGTCTCTTCTCACTATCCATCTTAATTAGACAGTGGAGGGGCCTGTCTCTTCTCACTGTCCATCTTAATTAGACAGTGTAGGGAGCCCGTCTCTTCTCACTGTCCATCTTAATTAGACAGTGTAGGGGCCCGTCTCTTCTCACTATCCATCTTAATCAGACAGTGTAGGGACCCGTCTCTTCTCTCTATCCATCTTAATTAGACAGTGGAGGGGGCCCGTCTCTTCTCACTATCCATCTTAATTAGACAGTGGAGGGGGCCCGTCTCTTCTCACTATCCATCTTAATTAGACAGTGTAGGGAGCCCGTCTCTTCTCACTGTCCATCTTAATTAGACAGTGGAGGGGGCCCGTCTCTTCTCACTATCCATCTTAATTAGACAGTGTAGGGACCCGTCTCTTCTCTCTATCCATCTTAATTAGACAGTGTAGGGAGCCCGTCTCTTCTCTCTGTCCATCTTAATTAGACAGTGGAGGGGGCCCGTCTCTTCTCACTGTCCATCTTAATCAGATAGGCTAAGGAGATCACATCCTCTAAGTCAGTAAAAGTAAAAAAGAAAACACGTTTTAAAAGCGCCACTTCAAAGCTTTGTTCAAAATTTCCTGTGCTTGAGTGCAAAAACGTCCCACAAACTGATTTTACAGACATCATATATATGTGGCCATTTGAACAAAGTTTTTTCCAGTAAGTCTTAGGGTTATAAGGATATTTTCCCGATTTTATCGACCGATAAGGATTCTGTCAGGATTAAACTATAAGAGGGCACATAGATATAGGGACACACCTTCAACGAGACAGTGTAAACAGTAAATCATACCGTTTGTATCGTTAACACAGAGTGTCTCCCACCCGGCTAGAATTTACATGGAGACAGTAATATATATATACTCCAGTGTACATATAAGGTATGGCAGCTTTAATATTTAATGGCGAGATAGGCTTTGTGTCAAACTTCATTCACAGACGTTATAAACACGTAATGGCTTAACATCGCCGAAAATAACAGCAGACGACAAGCGCACGTGACTCCAAGGAAATGCCAACAGGTGTGAAAGGCCCGCCGCCTGGCGGCCTGTTCGGCGCGCCCCCGTCGGCAAATCGCGATAGGATCGCCGGGAGTCCCAAATCTGTATAAACGCATGGGGACAGTAACACATTTTCTCTCGTGACGTAGACAGGTGGGATAGGGGGCGGTCTTACTTCCTATTTACCTGATTGTCAATATGTAGATAAAAGAAGCGATTACGAGTTTTTACATACTCTAGTATGTATTAACATACCGGTGCCTACCTGTAATGAATTAGTGACCGCCGATCTCGTGTAATTATCTCTCCCGTATGTAGAATACGGAGTCTATTTGCTGTGTCTCCACTTGTTTATAATCTTAGGGAGAAATTTGAAAACGTCATGGTGAAACTTCAAAACTTAAACTACCCATGTCATAACCAGCGAAAGGTTTTAGTTTATTAAATGTCAAAATAAAGTTAAACAGAACAAAAACTCAAAGAAATCAGTTAAGCAAAACAAAACAAGAAAAAAACCAATATGCACTGAAAAAAAACCAACAATAGAGAGATATCCTAACAACGATACACAGATATCCTAACAACAATACACAGATATCCTAACAACAATACACAGATGTCCTCACAACAATACACAGATATCCTAACAATACACAGATATCCTCACAACAATACACAGATATCCTAACAATACACAGATATCCTAACAACAATACACAGATATCCTAACAACAATACACAGATATCCTCATAACAATACACAGATATCCTAACAACAATACACAGATATCCTAACAACAATACACAGATATCCTCATAACAATACACAGATATCCTAACAACAATACACAGATATCCTAACAACAATACACAGATATCCTCACAACAATACACAGATATCCTAACAATACACAGATATCCTAACAACAATACACATATCCTAACAACGATACACAGATATCCTCACAACAATACACAGATATCCTCACAACAATACACAGATATCCTAACAATACACAGATATTCTCACAACAATACACAGATATCCTAACAATACACAGATATCCTAACAACAATACACAAATATCCTAACAACAATACACAGATATCCTCACAACAATACACAGATATCCTAACAATACACAGATATCCTAACAACAATACACAGATATCC